CTATATTTTAATATATGTTCATAAATACTGCATTTAGCTTTACACTATCTTTATAGGGTTTTGAGGCTTTTCAACTCTGGTGAATCTCAACAACACATAAATAGTACCACCGAGCATTGTAACTTTTTGAGTGGTACATTATGTTGTCAAACACACATGTATTGAACATGCATAATACATTCTTATTTTAGCTTCAATTTCTTAGCTTTGACCGATGACAAACAAGCTAAGCCAATTATATATGTATATTGTCCTTTTTATCTTTTCCACCTCAAATCTCCCTAGAGTTATTTTAGCCTCAATTTTTTAGCTTTGCCCGATGACAAACAATCCAATTATATGTGTATATTGTCCTTTTTATCTTTTGCACCTCAAATCTCCCTAGAGTTGTATAAGGACAACAAATTCAAGCGAGATGATCTTCGTGGATGAACATGTAAGTTAGAAAAGTTTATTTTTGGGTAGTCTTGCATTATATAGTTGTTTTATTCGATACGAGTATTTTTGTTCAGTCTAAAAAAATTGCATATTTTCTGTATTTTGATCATGTTGATGCGGCTTTGATACATGAAGAGTTAATGTTTATGTTTTGTCAGGTGAAAACATAGCAAGCATTGGTCACACACTTGCCAAAATCCCAGTGTAGGTGGCATGAAACAGTAGAAATACTTTGTTGTGTACTCTTTCAATTTCGTGTATAAGAATTTTCATTACAAAATGTTAATTAGTATGGAGTATATTGTTTTTTCTACTATGATGCTAATATCTACAATATTAAATAATTGTGTTAGAAATATATTTTCTTTAATAGGAAAAATATTACATTGAAAATTTTTTTTTGAACCGACAAAATTTTCGTTCAAACCCGTGCATGGCACGGGTTAAAATACTAGTAATTATTTATATTACTCCCAGATTTTTCTACTGTAGTAGTGGGGTGTACTTATTCAATTTGGTCTGATGGCCCGAATTTGGCCCAATATTAAAGCACTGTCATTGTCCATTACTTTTCAAATAATTCAGGCCCATTATTGTAGCTCCGGTACTGTAGAACAATGTTTAGGCGAGAACACTATTCTCAGCTCTTTGGCCTTTGTATATACTAAGATAATATAATTTTTTAACTGTACCATAATTTCTATTTTATTCATCAGTTTTTGTTTGTTAGTCATTACTTGACAAAAAAATATGTCATCGGATATCTTTTCACAAGCTCTTTCCAACGACGCCAATAACTTGTTTTTATGCTATAAAAAAGCAAAATAAAAAATAAAAAACAAAAATAAAATAATATTATCGAAATAATTTTTTATTATTTTGTATTATTATTTTATACGGAGTAAATGATAGGGTTAAATTTGAATAGCAATAGATAATTATTTATACAAAAATAAAAGTGTAATCGTTGCATTGGTGATGAGACACTACAGGTGTAAAGTGAATGAGATGGTGAGTACAATTAGTGCTGAGGTGGCACTGAGTGGCTGCTGATTTGGAGTAAGCGTTGGTGAAACACTACAAATAGACTTATGAGTGTTATTGTGATGACAAAATTGCCTTAAATTCTAAAGTAAACCTCTTGCAACCTCGAGAAAAGTGAAATTGCAAATTTCTATTCTTAAAAAGCATTGTATGTGTCAAGAAACCAACTCAATCAAAAGTTCTAACCTTACGATTGTTGGCCCAAGTAAAAAGTTCTAACCTTACGATGTGTCAAGAAACCAACTCATCACATACAGGCGTAACTTCATTGAGCCTTGCACGTGAAATTTTTTGTTATGCTAGGTGGCTGTGAGTTTCAAACTCGGGATTTCTTGAGCAACCAACTCAACAAAAAGCTCAAGCTTATGGTTGTAGGTCCAAGAAAGGTTTTTAAATTCTAACAGTATTGTTTTACACTGAGATACCACATCTTGACCCCAAACACAACAGATTCTGCTAAAACACCCAACATCAAAAGCTAGCACTTGAACTCGGCATGCACACCGCCACATCTTCTTCACATTACAATCCCATCAGATCTTATCGCGTAAATAGGCAAGAACAAACACTGCCAGTGCCCCAAAGGATATGGCTAGCAACGGGCCTGCAGGAACTAGTTTGCGGGAAGCAACAAGCCGTATACCTGTAAGCAAAGCAACATCAAAGCTATTACAGTGCATTTGGAATATTATACGGCGCGAGAATTACAGGTGAAGCAGTTGGGAATGCAGCTTACCAAACACGGATGAGAAGAGGAGTGATGATCCAAATGCTAGGGCGTCGCCTAATTCCTTGGTCTCAGATGCTTGCATCAGGAAGTAAGCCTATTAAGGAATGGTAAACTTGAGAGTTGACACTTGGTATCTCAAAAACATCAAATGAAAGAAAATGGTAGGCCATTCTTATGATTCCATTTCATACCCACCCATAAAAAACTAAAGCATGATCATGAGAAGCATTACAAAAAGAAACATCATCTGATTAGAATCAATGTTTTAATCAATACCATTCCCCGGATCAACTCACATTTTCACCCCACCTCCCACTCAAACCAATGCCAAAAAAAAGAGCATCACTATCAAAAGACATATAATTCTCTTGATTTTCACATCCTATTGCAAATCGAACTCTACTCAACTACTCAGGGATCCAAAGGAAATGCTGCATCTTTCAGTTTTTGGTTGGTTGGTCTTTTCTAAAAAAAAAAAACAGTTTTTATATGTCTATAAAGTTTCAATCCGTGGGATAAAAGTTGTATGACGAACTATAAAAACCTAAAAACAGAACAAAAGAACAGAAAGCGATGCCAAACAAGACATATCTCATTGCACAAATCATCAGGAAACAAATCTCATAGCAGTTCAAAACAAGATCAAGAACTTCACAGCTTAGACTTAACTGTACCCATGAGTGTAGCGCCAGTAAGTCCACCTACAAGTGAACCCGTGCTTTTTGTTCTTGAATCTACAGACATAAGAAAGAAAAAAAAACCCAATTTTTTTGGGGGATTTCAAATGGATCTGGACATTACATACACATTTGGAGATCGAAGAGAAAAGGGATTAGAACTTACATGCAAAGAGTCCCCCGCCAAGCAACAGCGTTCCATAAGCTGCAGACGTGAGAGGGGCAATTTCTGATGATAGCTGACAGTTGCAGCGAAGAACGGTGGCCGGAGCTCCGGATGGCCGCCTGCATTTCCGGACCTGAAATGTTGGTCGGCCGGAGACTGTAGTTGTTCTATAAGAAATCCTCCCGAATTGAGCAGATCTGGTAGGAAGCGGCGAGAAATGTTGGGGCTCGCCGGAGAAGAACAAGGTAACGGTGCCGCAACAACCCATCGTCTTCCCCGTAAGCGCGACAGTTCCGACTGCCTGTGTTTGCTTGTTTATCCTTAATTTTTACTCCGGATATTTTAGTTGTCAAATTTTATTTCTTTATTTTTATTCCTCATTTTGTTCTCACATCATCCCAAATTGGAATGCAATGTCATTATTAAGATTTTCCGATAATTTTTATTTATTTATATATTTTTATTATTATTTAATAAAATACCGAATACAATATTTTTATCATACCTTAAATTTTTTTGACAAAAATATTTTATTTAAAGTTAATGTTGTCTAATTTTGTCAACCTAGTTAAATTTCAATAAAAATAAAAATACTTCCTACAACATATCCTCTGTCCTTTTTTTAATCTTCCCACTTTTCTTTTCATTAACCAAGAGACAAACTTGAAAAGTCAATACCTTTTTTACATCTTCTTGAAGTGTGTATCTGGTCAAACCAGAAACATTAAAAACAGACTAAGGGAGTAATAAGTTAAAGCTTTCAACTTTTTTTTGCTCCAGCAAACCTTCAAGTTGAGGTATATTTGATTGAAAAAGAGTGAATTGCTTTTATCTTCTATCACCAAATGTATGGCACACCATATATTATTAGGGGTGGACACAGTTTATGGTCTATGATATTATTGGAATTTATGTTAGACCGCATGTATTAAAACGCTATGGTATTAGTATGTGATGAACTTTAAAATCATTTCGTACTATGAAACAAAATAGTACAATATCATACTCTTAACTTGTTCCAAAAAAACCAAACATTACATAATTCAAATATTGAAATGAAAACACAAGTTTGTATAAAATTAGAGCACAACTTTATTCAAACAATGTGTATAATTTGAAAAGATCATAATTTGCGAACAAAAGATAAGGAGACTACATTTAAAATACATTGTCTTTTTTCTAATAATACAATATTGGACTATTAATGAGTATAAAATAATAAAGAAATAATTAAAATAATAGTAATTAAAATTAATCAACAAAATAATACTTCATCTCAAAAAGCTTTTAAAAGACAAAAACGCACCCTAAAAACGGATATTTTTAAATTATTTTCTAATTATGATTCATTATTCCTATACATCGCATCTTACCTTTATAAAGTAAAAACAGAATTAAAGAATAATATCAAAATTACGATTCTTAGGGCACATCTTTTTTCATCTTTAAAAAAAAATTATGAGATGAAGGAAGTAATAATTAAAATAGTAATCCTTAAAATAATACGGAGTAGTAATGAAAGAATATATATAAAAAAGGAAACAACAACATACGGAGTACCCTGCATATGATCGGAAAAACTATACGAGCAATCTTAATTAACTTCAAACAATTTGATCGGTAACAATCAGTTTCAAGTTTTGGTATCCTAGAGGATGTTTGGGGTTGCGTTTAAAGAACTACTTATCAGCTTTTGCTTCACTAAAATAATGTTTGTCGTCTTTGTCAATCTGCTTCTACTTATAGTTATGATTTCTGCAGTCTAAAATGGGTTCCAGAAGTACTTCTAAGCAAAGTAAAAAAAATCTTTTTTCTGCTTCGACTGAAAACTTCTACTTTATCAACAATCTACAACACTCTCAAACACCCTCCTACTCTTGTCCTGTTTGATTTTTGTTCGGATTCAGTTCAAAATGGAAAATAGAAATTCCGTTCAAAAACACGACAAAGATTTTGGTACCATTATTGTCCGATATGGTACCATGCTAGTTCGACTTTTTCCACCCATATACTCTCTTTCTCCAAAAATTATTTTTTCGTTCATTATTCACAAACTCAAACTTGATTCACTTTGTTGCTAATTTGATAAAATTATATAGTCATTTAACCTCTAATAGTGAAATTTTTTACGTAATTTTAAAATATGTAACTTTTAGATTTCAATTTCACATCATTTTTGAAGTCCCTAATCGAGAGCTTTGCTTAAATTTGGGGACTAGTGTTCTCCTAGACGGAGTGAGAGTGTGAGACTATATTTTCTTGGATTATGCTATCTGTACCCCAAGGTTTGTACCCCGCAGTTTTGCACCAACACTTTGTGTTGGTGTAAAACTAATTTTTGTTAAACCATCAACATTTGTGTCCGTGTGAATTTTATTAACGCACCAACACTTGCGTCGGTGTAAACCATCGAAATGTTTGTGCAAGCCTGTGGTGTATAAATGAAGTATATTTTTTGGTGTAAGTGTAGCATGGTCCTATTTTCTTTCACAAAAGATTGGGTGAAGTACTCAAGTACCTGTTCGAGAGCTGCGTCATCGCTTGGGTCAGCTGCGTCATCGCTTAGGTAAGCTGCAAGTATTTACGTACACCATATTCCCCTCCTCCACTCTTCTAAATTAATTGGTAAAATGCTTTTATTCTTCTTCAAATACAACACAATTTCTGGTAGAAATGGCCTTTATTCAATCTCTTCTTCTTCTTCTTCTTCTTCTTCTTCTTCTTCTTCTTCTGTGGGCGATTTCTTGTTCTGTTTCAGCTGGACAGGAACATGAATTTGTCCAATGCCTTCTTCATCATGATTCCCAGAACTCTTCTTCATTTTCTCAAGTGATTTACACAGCATCACACAACTCTTCTTCTTACTTCTCAGTCTTGAATTCCAGACTGCAGAATTTGAGGTTCCAGTCTCCAGACACCCCAAAGCCTCTGGTGATTCTCACCCCAGTGGAAGAACCCCAGGTCCAGACAGCCATAAAGTGCTCCCAGATTCATGGGTTACAGATCAGAATCCGCAGCGGGGGCCACGATTTCGAGGCGCTCTCCTCCGTTTCTCAATACCCATTTTTCATTCTTGATTCGATCAACTTCAAATCCGTCTCCGTTGATGCCGAGGAGAAGACTGCATGGGTTGGGGCTGGGGTCACCCTTGGTGAGCTCTACTATGCTGTCACCCAAGTGAAGGACACTCTGGCCTTCCCAGGGGGCTACTACCCTTCAGTGGGCTGTGGTGGGTTCATCAGCGGCGGAGGCTACGGTCCTCTGGTCAGAAAACATGGCCTTGCTGCAGACAACGTGCTTGATGCTGTCTTGGTCGACGCGGGTGCCCGAATTCTTGACAGAAAATCAATGGGAGAGGACTTGTTTTGGGCGATCCGTGGTGGGGGGTTGGGGCCAGCTTTGGAGTGATTCTTCACTACAAGCTGCAACTGGTTGAAGTTCCCAGCAGAGTCTCAGCATTCAGTGTTTCCAAAACCATGGAAGAAGAAGGGGCAACCGGCATTGTCTACAAATGGCAATCGGTTGCCCCAAAACTGGCCCGAAAACGTCTCGAATGGGAGGGGCAGCTCCACGGCATTGTCGGGCGGTACGTGGCTTCGAATCCGAGAAGTGCATATATGCAAACTACAGGGATCTTGATTTGGGAGTCAACGAATTGGGAAGCACAGATGTGAGACGAGCTAAGGCTTGGGCACTGCCATATTTCAAGAACAACTTTGAGAGATTGGTGAAGGTGAAGAGTGAGGTGGATCCCTATAATTTACTTTTGGAATGAACAAAGTATTCCTACACTCTTCTGCCTCGTTGATTGAGCATATAGAGGGAAATTATAGCTGTCATATATATAGAAAATAATTTCCATGAAGGACTATTTATTAGTGTTACATTTCAAAATAATTTCCATTGATCATCCCCCGCCTGTTGATCTACCTTGCGCCGCAACCAATATTTATTAGTGTTACATTTCAAAAGGACTATTCCTACACTCTTCTGCCTCTTCCATCAGTTTTAGTTCAACCATTGCTTTGTGTTGCTGCCTCTTTAGCATCTCATTGTTCCTCAACTGTTTTTTTGTATTTAATTACAAAAAGAAAATGCTTAATTAATTCTGATTTAAAGACTGAGTAGGAACATGAGGCACAGACTTATATGGTATGAAACAAAAATAGATGCAGTATGAAACACAAGTATAGTAGAATAGTCAAAGACGCTTTAAAGGGACAAAGATAGTGGGTTGGATGAAAACTAACATATATTTATTACTCCCTATAAAACTACATTTTAAAGTTAATAAAAAGATGTTCAATTAATTTAATGTTATTGATGAATCCATCCCTCATTTCTATCAAAGAGACAAAATTTCCTACTTAAAATAGGAAAGGAAAGAAGTGAAGGGAAAAGTTGTCCATTTCTTATAAATGTGGAGTGGATTTAATTGTGTGACTCAAATATTGGAAAAGCTATAAAAACTTACTTCAAAATTCAAATGGGAACGATTTTGGGGATGGGACTATGCCCATAGCATGACTCGTATACATTCTTCACGTCTCACAAATTTTATCTTTTTTTTTGATTTCTGGATCGAAATTCGTGTAGATTAACTTAAATTTGCTTAAGAGTGTATTGAATGAAAACATGAAATCAATGTCATAAGATTTATTTTTCAAAGTTGTCTTAAAAACATTATATAAATATGATATTTATCTATATAAAATTATAAATAAAAATGATCATTGGATATCATTAAAAAATCAAAGAAACAAGTACAAATTATGGGACAAAAAAGCAGTGCGGTTATAATAAAATACCACTCGAGTAGTTTATGCCCCTGCACGGAAGGCAATTCTCCATTACATTTTGAGTTGGATAGGGATCAAAGTCCATGTTAATAATATTTACCTCAAGGGGAAGATCTAGTTGCTGCTTTTTGTTTCGGTTCTGTTGAGCTTGTTTAGTTCTTTACTCAAGTATTCTTTTTTGTTAACAATGTCATTGCCTTCTTTTTTTATTTATGTCACTCCCACTTACAGTTTTTGTAACCCACCTCAAATTTTTTTAATTCTTTTCAATTTTAATTATTTAGTTTAATTTTCTGCTCATGTTTCTACCCTCCTCCTATATCTTCCTCATCAAATTAAATTTTTTTTCCAAACTCTCTATGTGCAAATAATAAATATAACTGTAGATGGAAAAGATTCATAGAAAACAACATTTTGTAAAATATACGAGTAACACTTTTTCATCCATATTTAAAAAAAGTATATACTCCCTCCGTCCGGAAATGTTATTCCCACTCTCCTTTTTGGTCCGTCCGGAAATGTTCTTTCCATTTCCTATTTTAGTATACTTTTTAAGGATAAATTTCAATAAGGGTAAATTCCATAATTGGTCCTTTATAAGAGGGAGGTTTCCATATTTAGTCCTCTATTATCAAATATTACCACCGTAGTCCTTTTTTTAAGGGTGCCTTTCCACAAATGGTCCTTTTTAAATCTTCTGCCGTGTTGGTGTTAATTTAAAGACTAAAAGTATAATTTGACATCAACATTATGTCTAGTGATGTGTTCTGATATTGGTTAAGTGGATAACACAAAAATAATGACTATGATTGTGGGCTAGGATTCTGACAAAAAACCACATTTGTAGACTATAGTTGTAGTAGAAAACGACTGTAATTCACAAACAACGTAAACGGAATAGTCTTTGGAATTGTGTATGACAAAAAAGATATATTATCATTGTGAAATTACACTTTTAGCCTTCAAATTAACACTAACATGATAGAAGATCAAAAAAAGGACTATTTGTGGAAAGGTACCCATAAAAGGACTACTGGGGTAATATTTGATAATAGAGGACTAAATAGGGAACCCCCCTGTTATCACTAATCTACTTTTTTATTGTTTTTTAATAAGAAAAGGATATTTAAAAGTTTATAGTATATACAGTACATTTTTTAAAATTTGGCACTTTTTTTACTACTCCTTAATAAGTGCGTCAAGTTAACACGGGAAGAACATTCCCAGACGGAGGGAGTAACTTTTGTAGCATTAATTTATTATCATTTTTTTAAATAATTAATCCGTATTTGTGAGTGCAGAGAATTGCAAAGTACCTAGATTATTGAAGACGAAGGAGAATAGGAGCGGGGGGGCATGGCATAAAAATAAAATTACCAAAACTAAGGCCCCGTTCCGTTCAACTTATTTTTTCTTATTCTTATTAAAATCAGATCAGATCAGATCAGATCAGATCGAATCAGATCCAATCAGATCAGATCAGATCAGATCCAATCAGATCAGATCAGATCCAATCAGATCAGATCAGATCCAATCAGATCAGATCAGATCCAATCAGATCAGATCAAGACTTATTAAAATAAGATCTCATCAAGAATCATTATTATTATTATAATAATAATAATAATAATAATAATAATATTATTATTATATTATTATTATTATTATTATTATTATTATTATGATCATCATCATCATCATCATCGTCATCATCATCATTATTATTATTATTATTATTATTATTATTATTATTATTATTATTGTTCTTAAAAATGAAAAAGAATAAACTTTAGAAATAGGTTAAATAAAAAGCTGAGAAAGTAATCCTTAATTATTAGACGTCGGAAAAATTAGTTTTAAAATACATTGACAATGTCAATCTAATTCTACTTTTAAAATATATTTTTATTGCTACTTGTAATTTGAGTTTCTAAACTTTTGATCTTTTATAAGGATGAGATATTTTAATAAAAATACTATCTCTTCTATATATTGATTATCTAAATTTAATTACTTTTAAATGTATATCTAAATTAAATATTTATTCCAATGTATAATTCTAATTTTACAAAAAAATTATCATAAAATAAAAAATATTATTACATTATAATATGAATGATTATTCTAATATATGAATTAACTATTTTTATTTTATTAAAAAGGAATCATTAAATAAAAAATATTGATTATATTATAATATGAATTATCATTACAATTTTCAAACGTTATTATAAAGTCAAATTAAATTATTGATTTGAAATTTTAAATTAAATCATAATTAATCAGATCAGACCAGATCAGATCAGATCAGATCAGATCCAATC